AGATTTTTAACCGTTGTGCTTCAATTCCGTGGATGCAATGTAACTGTAAGATCTCATCTTAGCTGCCGGAAGTAACCGTCGGGCACCTTTTCGAAGTGCAGTTTCTCCGTGAAAACTAAGATAGTCGGACGGGAACTGTGCGTCTTGCATCAGGCGTATTCGACTGTGAAATTCCCTCTTCAAACAGAAACGGGTGGCCAGCACATTTCGAGCTCGGTCCATCCTGGTGAAGGGACGGTAAGCGGGGATGGTACCGAAGAATTCGTAGTCGCAACGCGATGGCGCAAGCGAAGGAACCCCGGAAAATCCACCATGTATCCAGTCCACGTACGAAATGCTTCGATAGATAGCCGTAAAAGCCGCCGCCGGCGACGGCGGTTGCTGCGGGAGGAAGAAACGGTGGTAGAGAAGGGCGTCTCCTCTCGTCCGCCTGAAATAACGCGTATCTTCAGCGTTTTCCAGCGGTGCCGCACAAGTGGAAACGACGACAACGACGACAATGATGACGGCGGATGGAGGGGAGTATTCGATACTTCAGGAAATACGGGGAGAAGAGAGACCGCAAAGGCATGAAAACGTTTGCGAGTAACTGCGAGATAGCTTCCGCAAAGGATGTGCAGAGGATGCGCTAAATTATTGCAAGAACGTTTCGACACTTTGTGATTTTTTTCTCTTATGAGAAATTATAAAATAAAATTAAATCTATTTTTTAGATTTAACAGACACTAAGTGTGCGCAGTGAATAAAGATTATGATGTATAATCGTTTTCGACGATTTGAATACTCTCAACTTTTTCCTAATCTCATAGTCACATAGAATCTTAGACTTCCTGTATTAAAAAAGATAAAAGTAAATTGTTGTTTTTCTTCAGAACTAATGAACAAAAAGCATCGTTTGTCGCGTGATCGCAAACTACATGAATTAATTGAATAAAAACTGTGCAAGTTGTCGTCGAAGCTTGAAAGTAGCGGGATCAAAAGCGAAGGAGTTTTCTGTTTTGGACGAGCACGGGAACCGTTTTAAAGAGGGCAGCTCTTTTTTCTCTCTCTCTTTTTCTCTTTATGTCTCTCTCTCTCTCTCTCTCTCTCTCTCTCTTTCTGTCTCTTTTTTGCTCTCTCCGTCTTCCTAATGTTTTCATATTTTTGCTCTTCCTCTTTCGCCGCAGCAACATACGAAAGACGAGTACGTATATCGAGACTCCAAGGGAGAAAGGCCGGAGGGTGAAGAACCGCCGGGGGTTGCCATCTACTCGGAATTCAGAAACGATCAATGCTTCAGGAGAACCCGCCGCCGCCTCCTCCATCTCCTCTTCACTTCCTCGCCCTCCTTTTTTGTCTTTTTTCATCTTGACTCGCTTCTTGCACTTATCGATAAAGAATGAGAAGGAAGAGAAGAGCCGGGCGCGCTATTCTTTCTCTCATTCTTATTTCGCTACTCCCGTGCGCTACCCTTCATTTCGCCGTGTCGTCCCTTATGCGTAAGAGCAACTCCTGCACGACGGGGGGGGGGGGGGGGGCGATCAGTTTCGCAATTCTGCAAAAGTTACTCGCAAATATGCGGCTTAAAAATGTATGAAGAATGTACGATTTATCCGACGAAGTAAAATGATATAAAAATATTTCACGAATAAATTTAATGCAACAAATGTGTATAGAATATTAACACTCTTAAGAGAGAACGTAGAACGTTTTTACAAATTGTAATGAAGGCTTGTTTCTATTCTATTTTTATTCGCAGGAAATCCTCAAGTTCGCGACTATATTTAAATTGATATGACATGATATATATTAATAAAATGTATATCATTTGCATGCAAGAGTAATTCTACGTCTGTAAATTAAGTAACTATCGTTATATATAACAATTCAAATGCGATCAATTCCATAATACACAATAAAAACTGTGATATTATATTTAAAAACTATTCAAGTCCGCTTTTAACCATTTATTTTCAGAACATACATATCTAAAAATTATTTATGTTACATTCAGTGATGTAATAATTTCCAGTAAAGTAAAAATAATTCTTCCGCTTAACGTTAGCCCGGAGAAAAAATCAAATTAGCGTAATAAAAACGGCTTTCTGCCCACGCAATTCTAATTACTAACACCTCACAGCTCTGATTTTGCTTGCTTTGATGACTTTGACGAGATAAATAAACTAATCAACATCCGCTTTATAAACTACCATAATAACATAAATATATTACATAATCCCATTATCAAACACTGTTTTATTGATAGAAGTGTACTATAAAAAGCTTCGAGTTTTACAGAAAAGCAATTTTCTACATTTATACGCTAATCGTTGTAATTACACGAAATAAGGACGCAAGACAAATAACAAGTTTAACCCGCTCACCTTTGTCAACGAAAAATAATGGAATAGGAAAGCACCTAATTTGTTACTTGAGTTACTTCGGCTTGGCGTAAAACAAGCATGAAGGATAAGACAAGACAGCTTCCAAGAGCGATAATTCGTGACTCCTTCGCGCGCGGTTCCGCGCAAGAGAATAAGAAAGGACTGATTTGTCATTGCCTGTGCGAGGCGAGGTCGGAAATACGATTTGTACGTGCGATCGATCAAAACAAGCCTTCGTCTCTTGGCACTGCCACGACGGCGGTCGCTCTATTCGGGGTGATTCAATGAGCTAACGCCAACTTAACGCTACACACCCCACTGAGCCGCACTCGGTCAGATAACTCGTGGATTTTCAAGCACCCTGCAGATTCCGCCGATCGCTTCCTCACTTGTGGATTCCGCCGCCGCGCGCCGCGGCCTTTAATCCGCGCTACCGCCCGCACTGAAAATCTTCGCGGAAATTCTTTACGCCGGAAAAAGTTCGAATTGTATTTGCATATGTGTCAGCTTGTTACACGTCTTGGAAAAAGGCGATTATTTTCGAGATAATTTCCGTAGGTATATTTATATTATTTGCAAATATGTTATACAGTTATCCTTCTTTCGATAACGAGTTGATAACAACGTTATCTCTTTGCTCGTCCGTAGCGGAAACTGCATCGAAAATAAAAAAGGCAAGAGAAGAGTTTCAATTAGACGTAAGTTCATTTATCGAGAGAATCGTCAATGTTCCAATATATTCTATCAAAGCTATTTCAATATATTCAAGATTTATATATCATGATATCAACGTCCGGAGAGAGACAAATATAATAAAATATAGAATTAAAAAGATAAAATATACGAATTATCTGATACCGCGTTTAAGAACTTTTTTTTAACCTGGCGTTTTAGTTAAATTATACGATGGCTACCGAGAGGATGTCAAAGGACAGAAATTATGATCGGCGGAGGTATGGAAGATCCCGCGGAAGGAACGAATAGAGGATTCGGAGGACGTGGCGAGGAGCGCTGGAAGGCGTAAGAGAATGGAAATCAATACGTGAAGTGAGCAGCCAGTTTCAGGCAGAAGTTGCCGGCTTTAGAAAGCCTTGAGACGTCGTCTGCCCATCCTCTTCGGACCCTTGTGTTAAGAGAGCTCGAACAGGCGAGAGCGAAGGAAGCGCCAGTGACAGAAAGTTAGAGGAAGAAAGAGAGAAAAGAGGGTGGGTGTAGGAGAGGAAGAGAGAAAGGGAGAGAGAGAGAGAGAGAGAGAGAGAAAGAGATAGAGAGAAGGAGGGAGAGTTCCATTCAGGACTAATGGGGTTAAACGCCTTAGCCATCAACCGAACGCCTCCCTCTTGATTCTCGGACGTTTCGATTCGTCCGGAGCTAGAATTCGAATTATCCGTAATATCTCCGAACATAGTTTACGTTCGTCGAGACTGCGTCCCGCGAATTAATAGGGAAAATGCGCGCAAAACTGCTACAAGTGGAATCATTTCAAGAACCATCATCATTAATCATCATCATTAACCATCATATCGCACTTTAACACACTTTTAAATACTAATTTCAAGAATTTTTCATTTAAATTAGAATTAAGATTTTCTCATTTCAATTAAGGCCACGGATTTTTCACAAATGATCTAGAAAAAAAAATGATAGGATTGATTCTCGATCATTTCCGAAATTTACGAATACCTTTTTTATGCATCTAGTCAGATAGCAAGCATTACCAAGAAAGCGTAAAAAAATTATATCAACTTTGAATTAAATGGAAAAGTATGCGAGTCATATACGAAGCATCGGCAACGTTAATGCAAAGCTTCCTAATCGTAGAAAGAAATTTTGTCGCGCGTGTGGTCGTTATGCGCCATCGACATTTCGTAGTCATCGGCCAGGAACCGTTAAGTTTTATGCTTTTCAGGCGAACTTCCGTTCCCCGTAAAGGTTTTACCATAATCGTTCTTCTGATGGGCCATCGTAATGGAATACCGGATTGAAAAATGACGTATGTCGAAGATCATAAATAGGGATAGATTTCGGAAATCTTTCGATATATTTTAATCTTCAGCCTATCACTATAAATTTGTATACTATATATTTTTTTTATTACACAGTTTTTTCTTTTTGGAGACACTGATTTACTCGGACTTTTAACTTGCTCTAAGCCAATCTAATTCTCTATAAGATTTAATCATCGTTCCAACTTATATTATAAGCAACAGTTAATTATTTAATAATTAATGAAAATTAATCTATGTATTTTAGAGTTGAGAATTAAGAATTAAGAGCTATAAACTAAAGATTTAATAGCTGGAATTATTTACGCATATGTATATATGAATATACATGTAGGAAGCCATACCAAGATGATTTTATCAAATGAAAACTTTTTATGCTTTTGCATAAAAAGATTAATTAACTGGTGTGAATTAGAATAATTTTTCGGTTTGTCAGTTTTAATTATTCAGCATATCTAACATCGTTCCTACAGTTATGTATGCTTTTTTATGGCGCATTATAACATTATTATCTTTGTTCATATACTCATAAAATGATTTCTGGCGCGCAGACTGATTTGAAATAAATGTAGATTTTTAAGCTCATTAATTAATTAAAAATTGTATAATTATATTTGAGAGATAGGCTTACCTTTGTGTGCCATGTCGTCAGCAGTGACGGAGCCTATGAGGCCGGTGGCGCCCGGCCATGGAGCGACCGCAGCGCCCAGTTGCTGCGAAGGCAGAATCTTCGGGCCTTTGAACACTTTCGTTCACTGAAATCCATAATTAAAATTGTTAGAAAATATCAAAAAAATGTCAATATCGTATACAACAATAGTAGCTTCTCCGCGTTTGAAAGATTAAATTATTACCCGTTGGATGCGTGATAAATATTAACACTAAAAAAGAAAAGAAACTTCGCGATACAATACAATAGTGAAAAATGCGCGCATAGTATGATGCTGATAGAAAAATGTTTTTTTAGATGAAATTAATAAGGCAATTAATTAAAAAAAAAAAAAAATGCACGGCTCGTCCGGAGATACTTGGTAGTTTCGACGACCCGCCCAAACTGCCTCGTCGCGTACAAACATCGTACCTTAATTGGGCGCCGTATATTCGAAAACTGTGCGTATCCACAGCACCTGTGTAAATCTGCGTCATTTGCATATCGCGGGCGTATGTGCGTCGTCGCGATCGCCTTGAGCGGGCAAATAAGCGCGCGACCGATCTCTTTTCGCGCCGTGTTATCTCTAGACGCTCGGTTCCTATCCTACCGCAACGTGTATCTATAGCCGGTATATTTTAACCTTGCGTTATATAAGGCGCACAAAAAAAGAAATAGAACCCGAAATAAGACCAAATGTGTGTTTTCAGTGACAAGCGTATCTAAAATGTAAATTATTGAAAATAATCATCTAAATATATACCTCGTTCATATAAAATATTATTTAGAATTTTATTTTCTACGAGAATAATAAAAAAAAATACATATATTTAAAAAAAGTAACTAAAAGTTATTAAAAACAATTGAAATAATTATTTTAACAAGCTAAGAAAATTTACAATTATTTGAATGGCAAAATAAAAAAACTTCAGCTACTTAAGCTTTGTTAAATTAATTTTAAACAGAATTTATCTTAACAGAAATTTAATTCACGGTAAAATTAAATAAATTATTGATACAATTTTATGTATATCATATAAACATTTGTATATATAAAGATTATAAAAAATATTATTAAAATAAGCTTTTTTAATCGTGTTAATAATCTGTACCATCGTATGCGAGTTAATTTTTATATATCCAAATACAACGTAAGCCATCCCTGTGAGAACTGCATGTAACCGTTTTGAGTTGCAATGACAATCATGAAGTGTCTTAATTATCGAAGATCGCGCTTATTGAAGATGTAAACTACTCGCAAACGTAACACCCTCCGTGTACCTTTCACTACCACAAACAAAAAAGGAGAGGGTGAAGCGAAAGCTCGCAGTGCTAGAGGGAATGAAAATGAAGTTAAGCGCGATAATTAGTGTCGGAAAGAATTAGTCAGCTGAAAGCATACAAGTTGTATCGTTTCATAAGGTTAAAACACAAAGAACAAAAAGCAACATAGCAAGAGAAGCAATCCGTGAAAAAAAGCTTAAATCTTCATATACGAATACTTTAACTAATTCAGAGTAAATCTTTCTTTAACATATGTATTGAATATCAATATCTTTTATATTATTAATAAATATAAATTAAATATAATATAACACATAATGAAAAAAGATTAGCAAATGTGAAACCATAATAAAAAAAAAAAAAAATAATGCTAAACAAAACCTCATGACGATTCATTCATATTGCATATATTAGATAACACAATTTAATTTGTACAATAATAATATCTTATCGCAGCAATAGCGATATTTATTCATAAATATATTATTTTGTTAATGTGTAAATTATAATATATTTCTCGTTCTCGCGAATGATAGCAAAAGGAAAGCATTTCGGAGAACGAAAATATGTCTCTCGCGAGGATGTTTACGCAAGGCTCATTGATTCAAATCAAAGTTACGTAATAATTTATAATACGATTCACTTCCGCAAGTTATCGCAACGAGTTTCAATACGAAGCAGTGCATCTGCAAGACACTTCCCTCTTTTTCCCTTTCATTATCCAGGATGCTCTTTGCGCTGCAACACAGAGAAGCGTTTTCTCGCACGAAGAGATGGTCGAAGAGATGAGATACAACTGGAAAAGGGAAAAAAGCCCAACGAGAGAAGCGCGAAAAGTACGTACATGTTTATGTATATGCACAGAGAGAGAGAGAGAGAGAGAGAGAAAGAAAGGGAGAGAGAAAAGAGAGAAAGAGAGAGAGAGAGAAAGAGAAGGAGAGGGAGGAAGGATGGAGCGCATCGCGTTCGCATATTGTACAAGAGGATTACCTCGGATTATGCCCGACTGAGCGCAAACAGGATCACGTCGCTTCTGTTTGCAAGACGCCAAGCTGTCGATTTAGTGAACTCAAACTCGACTGTGCCTCGCGCGGAATCGCCATCAGAATAGCAGCGGCTTTCCAAGAGATATCCGCGTTTTTCCTTTTTGTAGTCACATACGATTTAAATCGAACAAGATCGAATAACGAATTAAGAGAAAACCAAAAAAATTATTACACAAAAGCACTTCTTAAATTTATTTTTTAAATAATTATAAAACAATGTAAGATGTGTGTATCGTTTAATTTCAAAAATAAAATAGATTAAGATAGATTAATAACATTCGACAAAATGCCATCTTCATAATTTTGGGCATTAAATATTTTGATAATTAAAACGTAAATAAAAATTTTTTAAATTAATTAAAAATAATTTTATCACCGCATTTTAATTTTGCAACAGATATTTATTTAACTAATTAGAATTTAAAGATGCAAATTAACATTTCGATTATCGTGTTCAGCGAGATATAAATTGCTAAAGATATATCATTTTCAAAGTAGAAAAAAAAAAAAAACAGAAAAGATCGTGCAAAACGATTAAAAAATCTCCTGGAAACTTTTGTAAGCACGACCAGAGATCGCTTACGGATCCGGAGAGATTCACGGAAGAGTATTCTTCGTAGTTACCGGGAGACAAGTTCGAACACTTCTTGAACATTCCGCAAACACAATACAGCGAGACGCAACGGGACGGGGAAAGGTAGCATTATACACGCGAATGGTAATAGGTTCCATATCCACGAGAGCTGCCGGCGCATTATGCTTTACATTTCCGGCGAAACACTGTTAATGGCACCCACTGCCGTCGCTACCGCGACTACCGTCGAAATCCACCCCTGTAATACACGCCCAACAGCCCCCGCAGGCATTAACCGCTCGCGCTACCGTATAAAGTGACTTCCGCCCGCGATTACATTCGTCTCATGAGCACGTACACAAGCGTTTGTGCATTAATTATTAATTATGCCGGTGAAGAATGAGAGGCCGCGTATTATCCGACGATAATGACTGTTTCACGTAATCGAGGACGATTGAGAGATAAATCGTTTTAACGTAATATACGCAACTTGTTTGAAATTAATTAATTTAATTTCAAATATATCTGTTTTGATGCTGCCTTTTTTTTACATTTATATACATACATTTAACGTTTTCTTATCGCAAATCTTACGTAAATGTTGTTTTTATTATCTCTTAGGTATGCCTGATATAAGTTAATCGAATCGTTATGTAATCACAAACTTACGTCATTATTATTTTGATAAACGCACGTCCCTTTTCTTGTATGCACAAAATAACGTAATAAGAAGTTTTGACACATGCATGAATTTATATGAAATTATATGAAAGACAAAAACCAATTTTTTAGAAATATTACTTAATCTTTTATAATTGTGTCTTTACCAAATTATTCCTGTATCTTAAAAAATATTATATGTTTTTACATCTTTTAGTATGTTTAGAATAATATTTCATCAATTCTTTCGTCATATAATTTTCTCATACTTTTAAATCTTACAATTTATAACAATTTATACTCGACAAAATTATTTCGCAGAAAAATTTGCAAAAATTGTATTTAATTGCCATATAATAACGATGGAGAGAATATGATCAATAACATTTCTCATTACATTTTACTTGGATATCGATCAATACATAATGCCTCAATCCGTTCCAGATGTAGACCGTCGAAAGATGTTTCATTGATCAACGTTAATTCGCGCGCGTCGTTTATAGGATCTATTCCTGTTTAACGGCACGTTAATAATGAACAGTTAACGAGGCGTTAAACGGTTATAGATCTTACGAAAGGCTTCCTTCGAAACATAATACAATTCAATCCAATGCAATTGCATCCTGTACTACAAGGAGGTTAGCAATTTTCCGCTCTTTTGTGTAACAATTTACATCTTCTTATGAACATTCTGTTTCGGATTATTTATGAGTTTTCTGTTTCGGATTATCGAATCGTTTTCTATGTTCATTGCATTGCTTTTCGTGTTGATCTATGTAGCTTAGCTTCTCAAATCTTTCGAACATTAAGGTATTCCTTGGATCTTTAAATATTTATTTTTAGATCATATTTATATGATCATATTTCTTTTAATATCTTCCTTCGTTTTGTCTCTCATTTTTCAAACAAATTTGAATTAATTTGTGTTCAAAATTTTCCACAGATGTACATAACTTGAAAGAGTATCATTTCTTGTGTGTTATAAAATTATTTTAAGAGTATATATAAAATTTAAGTAAATTTAATTTAGTCATAAATAAAAAAAATCAAAGTAATTAAAATGATAGAAAAACGCATTTCTTTATAGAAAAATTTTTACTTCTCACAGAATTCTCATAAAATACTAGTCAAGGGTTTATACATAGATACTTCATGCATGGATTATCGTTGTTTACGAGCAAGCAATGCCGTGTTGCTGCTGTACATTTGCCCCGATTAGAGAATTGCTACCGCAAAGAAACTACTGGAGAAACCGACGCATAATACATCGTCACGAAAGGAGCGTTCACAATGCGCGTCGGATATCACCACGGGGGGTGTCTACACTTGTGACGCTCGACATTCAGACGGTCTCATTCATTCGCGGTCGCATTTTACACGGCGAATCGTATAAAGCCTATCGCCTAATTACACCATAATACTATGACTGTGGGAGACACGCGAAGAGACAGACTGACAGAACGAGAGAGAGAGAGAGAGAGAGAGAGAGGGAGAGAGAGAGGAAAAAGACACCATAACAATATGTGGGAGCAAGAAAGATGAAGAGAGATATATACTATATATAGAGATTTGACGCGCTATTGAATCGCACTCGTCTCCAGTATAGCGAGCTCGTTGCAGGAGAGGGTTGAGTACTATGCTTTAAGCCGTATTATGTGCTACGTGCACATGAAATCTGCATTTGATAATGTGTTAATCAGCAGGATGAATCAACGGAATTCGCGCGCGCGCGCGTGATTATCGCTACAAGCGATTAATGTTCAGACAATGTTCAATTAGTCGAGCGTATTCGTATCTAAATATGTAAGTAAATATGTCGAAGTAAAATATTTTTAATACTCACTATCTCGTTCTCTCTTTCTCTCTCTCTCTCTCAATCGTGTCTCAAATAAAAAAAATCCGACGCGATCAAAACGTTGGGCTTTATTGTATTTACGATTTCTGATACGTAATATTTTTCCGTATATTTTTATATTACAAAGACAATAAACAATTTAATTATATATATATTCAATTGTCATATGAATATTATTTTCTCCGAGGAAAAACAAAAACTAAAAATTTTCATATAATTTTGCTGAAATTGAATTTACATAACCGTTTGTCAACGAACAAGTTAAGTAAAAATTACATAAGATTTCCTACGACGCAAAGTAAATATTGAAAATGTTTACCGATAGTTACGCGATCGATTCTCTCTGAAGTTAAGCCAAATAAGAAGCGAAAACACGCACCTCTTTGAAGAATAAATAAATTAGAATCGAATCGATTTCCGTAACATTGAAAGTTTTCGAATTCAATAGTTCATTGAAAAATTAGGATTCATCTCTTCATCTCCATCGTTATACAAGTTAATGATGTAACTAAACTACAGATGTAAAATAGAAAAGCTTCAATTCTAAACAAGGGATTCTCTTCTTCCTTTTTAATTGCCTTAAAATTAAAACGAACCAATGATAAAGAATAATAAAAATGTAATAATTATAAAAATAATTAACAATTTCGAAGACTATAAATTAAAAATATCGCGATACAGAGAGAGATTTTAGTCGATCTTTTCTACCTATTCTATCTTTTTCCACTTGCGCGCTTTTTAATCAAAATCAACATAATATATCTGATTATGACGATTACATACCAAGATCTGCCGACGGCCGACGGTTTCCGTCCTCCCTTCGACGTCCTCGTTCCGCGAAAGCACCACTGCGAATCCTTTGGCTGGTCTCGTTTTTCGTCGCACCCCGCATATACTAAGCACAGCCTTCCGGGCGCGAACCGCGAGTTGTGGTTACGTCACTCTCGCGCCGGATCGAACACTTCGATTCGACTCGCGGGGATCGATTTATCCGTTGAAATCGGTTCGCTCGCGGCAAAACACCCCTCTCACTTTCGCGGCTAGTCGCGCGCGTTAATAACCTCTCGAATTTATCTTGGATTTGCCGGTCCAGTCAGTGTCTCGAGCGCGACCAATTTCGCGTTCGACTTATGTGCGAAAGCGGTGCGAGGAAAAGAACGATGATTATAACCAACCGCGCTTGTGCCGATCCGCGCGAGTGCGGCACACGTGCTGCTCTGCAGCGTGTGATTCCTCTCCTCTCTCGCTTTCGTGAAATCCCCGTCGGATCGGGGCGGGGAGGGTGGTCGCGACGCGAAAAGCCTTCTACGCGAGGACGCCTAACCCTAAGAGGGAGAGAGCGAGGAAGAGAGATATATATATATATACACGTAGAAACGGATGCGAAGAGAGAGAGAGAAAGAGAGAGAGAGAGAGATACAGAGGGAGTGCGAGATGCGTATATCGGATGAAAGAGAGAAGAGAGGAGAGAGATAGAGAGAACGGAAACTCTCTCCGGCCGTGGAAATATTATTAGGTAAAAGCGCACGCACGGACTGGCACGCACCGACTCGCGGACTCTCGTTGGGTCGCGCTGCCGCGGCCTCGTGTTGGTACGTTCGACTTGACGCTTGGACCAATGGCGGCGAGCGCAGCTTCCCTTTCTACGTGCGCGCCGCGACAGACGGTGGGGATCCCGGCTCCGCTTCGTGACATCATCGATTCTGAATGGTGGAGATGCTCAACCGTGCGGAAGGTATATCGCGGAGGGTGCGTGCTGTGCGTGCTCTGCGCACGCGCGGCAACGTGCGCGCAACTGCACCGCACGAAAAAGGGATGCGCGCGGTAACGCGCGACGCGTCAGATGGAGATGAACCGCTACTACGCGAGGATGATGCCCGTCTGTCAGTTTCTCCTTTTATCTCCCTTTCGGTATTTCTTAATTATCTCTTGTTCCTATCTTCCTATGTCTCCCGATTAATTGCGACATCGATTGATTAAAATCTTGAGAATTATACTGGTCTAAATGTATAATCAGGGCGAAAGATGAAAACGGATGATTTTTTTTCTTGGGATTTATAAAACTCAATATAAAAATTTAAACGGAACATTTTTATTCGTGCAATGTAATAATAAGGATTTAAGCGTATAATATATATTTAGCATGCAATGCTCGAGAAATAATAGACTTATATAATTTGATTAAAATTGAAAGAATATTGACAAATAATTTTACATTCAAACGATGATATGTTTTGAATGAAATAATTTTACTTACATCACACATATTTGTCTTTTCTACTTATGAATGTATGATTACTTTTGTGTGTGAACGCAGATAAGACTATATATTATCTTTACGCATATTTGAACCAACCTTGGCAATTTGGATAAAAATAACGGCAGCCAAATTTAAACAAGATACTTTCTCTAAAATAATAAGTTGCTTAATTCCATATTGACGACGTATATAAATTCCTCGCGCGTATATAAATTCCGCGCGCACGTATGACGTTTTTAAAAATAAATTTTCTTGAATATAAGCTCTTTGCATCATTCGAAAAAAATCATACGTTTTATATTGTTTTTAGTTTTTATGTATGTTTTATTATATCCATATTACATCAGTATGTAATAGTTCAGTTTCTAAGATCCTACGGTATATTCGTTCGTTATTGGAATTTTCTTTTCAATACTGTTTTTTTTTTTTTTTGTTCTTGATCTTAAATTTACTGAATTTTGCGAAATAAAAATACCGACAAATTGATAATTATTGAAAATTATTGTATTTTCATTGCGCGTTATTTTTCTTGATTCTTTTAATTATCAATCTTTTTGTTTTTATTACAAAACAAATTTCTACAAACTGTGCACAAAGAAAAAAAAACGAATTTTTCAGCGTTTTTATTATTTTTTTCTGATTTTTCTAGCATCTTAAATATTTGTCGAATTTTCAATAATTTTTACGAGACCGAGACGGAGAAACAAGAGAAACGAATGTTTGCGCCGTCGGAATTTCGCATCGCTCCTCTTCCAGGGGCGCGTCTCGCGCGAAGGGATATTAAAATATAATTGGCGTTTGTGTCCCTTATGCGTGCAAAGCGGTATCTAGTCACGCGTGGACCAACCGACCGTGGGTGTTATGCACGCCAGAGTACGTCATACGCGCGCGCGGGGGGTGATTCACCCTCTCTCTGTACCTCGGCATAGTATGCCCCTACAATCTTTCTCGCAGGACGGTACAGAACGGGGGGATAGACGTGGATGCATCTACCCTTGTCGACGCGGTGCGTCAACGACGAGTCCGCAAGCTCGTTTCACACGGAACATATCTCGTGACGAGAAAACAAGAGACAGAAGCGATAAAAAGTAAGACACTAGTCGTTTATCTCGTAAAATGTAAGTCCAGATTTTAAAAGCGCTATTATATAACGCTATAATAATTCCAAAACAATACGAGATTCCAATGAATACGAAGATAATGCGATACGATGTATCAATCTTGGCAACATAAAAATCTGGACTTTTATTTGCTTTTGAATAAACGAAGCATGTACGAACAAAATGGAGCAAATAATGTTACATTGATTTATCCAACAGAATGTCCCGACAAATATAAACAAAAAATCAAAACATTGCAACATTGTCACGTTGCAGTTAAAATATAGGTTTCTATAATTAAAATGTAGTAAACGCTAAATAATTGTAAGAAGCACAGACCGCTCAAAACAGCAAATGTGACAAAGTTAAAGATAAATGCTTTTACATCTATCATTTGATATAAGAGAATTGTTTTTTTATTTAAAAATTAGATACAAGAAATTAAAATATATAAAATATAGAAATAAAAATTATTAATATTTGAGTTATCGATATATCGTTTACTTTATTTCGGCTTCTTTACTTATTTAGCATGACGTAAACATGTAATATTAAGTTAAAGAATCCAATTTAAACTAATAATTGTGATTTTATTCACTATACTAACAAAATAGAACTTTTATTGAAACTTAATTTCGGACTATATTCTTCTTATTATTATGTCTTATTTTTATATCTTATTGTGTCTCGAGTTTTAAAAAGACGGTGATTATAATTAAAAGTTTCGCAACGATCGATCATCGCACCATTCGACGAAATCGCTCGCAAAATGCGTTATTCTTTGAAAGAACGTTGATCTCGGTCTATTAGCATTCTTAATAAAGATAGTGGCTAAAATAATAGACTCATTTACGAGTTTTTGAATTTTGCGAGAAGAATACTACCAATTAAAAAGTTGCATAAGTTAAAACGAGATCACGGCTGTGTGTACGTCATCACGAATCCGATCAAACAAATACGAACGAATTGCGAAGGTCAATTGTGGTGCGATGTAAGAAAGTCAGAGAAGTTTGCTCAAGTTATCTTCGCATTTCACGAAAATTTGAAGTTAAGATAACGGCTGCGAAATAAAAACAAGTTTTAACAGATGCTTGGAAAATTTCAGCAGTTGAAGTACGTAAATTCTTTATAAATATCTGATTGAGATTAGTCTCTTTGTTAATTTTAAAAAAGAGACCTTGAAGAAAACAAATAAGCGCGAAATATAACATATTCAAAATGTGATGTTTGATGAAAGCACTTTGTACATTTTAAAGATACATAATGAGATATATAAATAAATAAATTTTATATAAAAACATAATAAAACATGATTTTGAAGTTAAAATATTATTTTGATTTTTCTTTTATTAACTTTCATCATTATATTAAACTTTTAAAACTTCTTTCAACTTTCATCCAATTTTAATCTTCTATAAAGTGACAAAAAATTAAACTGAATTTAAAATTAATTTAAGTTGGTGAAGCCTTTGATAAAATTTAATTAATAAATTGGATTCTTATAGCGAAATGTATCATGTATCATTGACAAATTGTGTATTTACATAATCTATTCATTGAATGTCATGCTTCGTTATATAATTACTGCTGATTCGTCATGTTTAATTTGTGTTTGTATAAATATGCACTTACGAAAATTGGACGATCTTCTGCACACTGTAAGACATTTCGGATGCGGATTTGCGCGCGCATTCGCGTTCATAGGTATCCCAGAATCCCGGAGAGAGTCGCCGCTGCAGGTCACGATGTGAACCCGGCTTTAGGAGATCCACGCGGTGGAAGTAACGCGTTTCGATTTTGCGTTAGCTCAGCTACGCGTGAATCCAGCCAAGGTCAAGTCGTTCCCCGTTTCCGAGCATCCCTCCGGCACTCGGGCAGAGCTCTTAAGATCGATTCCAACCAATTTTATACGTAGGGTGGCCCGCTACAAAAGCGCGATGACGTTAGGTGAGACACAATTATCCTCGTTTACACCTCCTGCTGTACCTGCTCCTCACTAGTCTTTATGATTAACTAAAACTCTTTAATGAATTGATTATGCAATGTATTTGCAAGCTTGGATATCATCAGAAAATATTGTTGATAAATAGTATCTCTATTAATTTGCTTATGTAAAAGTCATTTAATTTGAAAATGTAAAATACAAATTTACACACAAGTTCGAAAAACATTACATTGGTTTGCATCTTTGTATCTCAAATAAATTTTTGATATCTTTCCAAAGCTGTTCTACCTTTAAAATAAACGTTTATTTTTTAAACTTTTAAATGTAACAACTTTCTCATCTTTTATTTTTTTGTGTTTATAGTGATCCGAAAGTTACTGGACTCTTTATTAATTTTTATTATGTTTATTATATTTAAATTTTAACAATTTAAACTTTGCGATCTCTCCATTGATATCGATGTCATTCTTCCCAGTAAACACAAGACAGACGTACAACTATTTTCATACGAACTTGTTATCGACTTCTCGCTCATCTATCCGTTGATTCTTCATCGCCACTTGAGCAAACTCGAGAATAGTATGGCTCAATACGACGATGGAGCCGACAAACCAAAGAAACGAAAGAAGTTATTATTTGCCAACTCTCGTCTGTTTTCGAACGCACCGTCGCGATAACACTATTTGCAGTTTGAGTACATCTTTGAAAAATAAAGAATTGATCGATTTTTGAACAATTGCCATCATATATGAATATTGTCTATTTTGTCGCTGATACTTCCTCGGCGTGCTTCAAGAGAAAGTTTATCGTAAGTCAAAAAATTACAATTAATTTCTACAATTAATTTTTACAATTAATTCTTAATATAATTATTAAAAAATTCTGATAAAAATAAATTAGCAGTTATGAAATGTTATGAAATGTAAAATTAATAAACGTAAAATATATATTCTAGAGTACGAATGAAAATGAAATACGGAAAAAAATTGGTTTTTATCAATCCTTCATTCTAGCATATAACATTATCTCTTCTGGTAAAAATTATTTGCTGTATTAGTATCATTATACACACATATATGGTCCTCATATAAAATTTACCTATAATTACAGTTAGAATAATTTTTTATCCAATCATTATGCAACATTTTTTAACAATTTTAACAAGTAATAAAAATATCGTATAAGTATCATAAAAATATCGTACGAATAATAATGATATCTAAAATTGTTTAGAAAGCTCAGTGTTTTGTATAAT